TAGTTCTCAGTGTTCACTGCCCAATCATATATATAGTCCCTCCAGGTCTCCATCAACCCAGTGACATCAAATTCCTCGTCTGCCAAAAGGAGTGCCAGTTTGTCTTGTTTATTGCCCATGCTTCGGGCATTCCCATAAAGACAGCCGAGTTCACCCTTAGTCTTCTCAGGCTTTTGGTCCCTCTGCCAGCATCCCAGGGCACTGGTACTCGTTTGGATGTCCCCTATGTGAATACCCTCCCCTGGGTCATCTTGGCCAGAGGATTTATGCCTGGCAATGCAATCTACCCCCACCCCCAAGACTTGCCTAGTTTAAAGCTCTCTTCTGCAAGTCAGCGATTCTCATAGAGAAGAGCTACTTACCTCAGCCCGTGAGGTGGATACTATCTCTTGCATGCAGACCAGTGCTGTTGAACTGCATACCAAGGTCGAGGAATCCAAAACCAACAAGGTGACACCATCTCCAAAGCTTTCGGTTGACTTCTTCGATGCATTCCTCCCTCCAACAACCACAGCCTCTAACTGGGAGGATTGAGAAGACCATTTGGGCTCCTAGTTCCTTGAGCTTTGGCCCCATGGTCTTGTACTCGCTCATGATTCTCCCAGCATCGTTTCTCACTGTGTCGTTGGTACCCACATGGACAAGGAGCATGGCGTAGGGGTCTGTAGGGCGGACCAGCTTTGGGATCTTTTCTGTTACGTCATGAATCCTAGCCCCCGGAAGGCAGTAAACCTCTCGAGCAAAGGGGTCTGGACGACAGATGGCACATTCTGTTCCCCGCAGCATGGAGTCTCCCACAACAATCACCCTTTGTTGTTTCTTCGATGGGGGCGGCTATTCCTGTCTTGTCCTCAGTGTACATGACACGGATCCCTCAACCGTTGATGGTGTTAGGGCTGCATAGTTGTTGTGTAGGGCTATTGGTGGAGCAGCTGATGCACGTCCTGGTTTTGGGCCTGATGTGACCAAATGACACTCTTGATCATTACAGGCATCTTGCTGAAGCTTGCTCTTCTTCCTGGTCGCCATGGCATCCTTCTCCAGCTGCAGGGCCCAGTAGTAAGCATTGATTGTCCGTCTTGTGTTCCCTGAAGGATTACAGTCTGCTCACCTCCTCCTGGAGTTCCCTCACCCAGCCCTCCAGTCTCTACCAATGAGCACATCCCACAAGTGGGAGTGCCTGTACCCCAGGTCCCAGCCTCCAGCAGATGTGCCAGGCAGCATCATAGATGTTAAGGTCGGAAGGGATCTCAACAGATCATCGAGTCCGACCCCCTGCATAGGCAGGAAAGAGAGCTGGGGTTAGATGACCCCAGCTAGATGCCTATCTAACCTCCTCTTGAAGACCCCCAGGGTAGGGGAGAGCACCACCTCCCTTGGGAGCCCATGGGTTTAGATGACCCCAGCTAGATGCATATCCAACCTCCTCTTGAAGACCCCCAGGGTAGGGGAGAGCACCACCTCCCTTGGGAGCCCATCCCAGACCTTGGCCACTCTAACTGTGAAGAAGTCCTTCCTAATGTCCAGTCTAAATCTGCTCTCTGCTAGCTTGTAGCCATTATTTCTTGTAACCCCCGGGGGCACCTTGGTGAATAAAACCTCACCAATTCCCTTCTGTGCCCCC